AAAAAGTGAATGGAGAGTGATTTGTAAGAACACTTTTATTCATCCCAGCAAAATTAAAGTCACAATGAGATGTTTCCTACTAAAGTAATAAGACTCACTGGAGACTGAAGTCAATATCCACCCAAGAAGAGGCAAGTACACAGTAGTTGTAAATAAAGGTGGAGTGGAAACCTATTGTTCCCAAGGCAATAAGCATCTTTACTACTTATATTTGCTTACTAGGCATCCAAAGTGAACTTCATGAAGCTCAGCTCACCTTCTTCAGTAGATAAAGGCACTCAGGGCAACTGAGAGAGGAAGGACGGTGGCACATATTGCTGGGTCAGAGGAGCAGGGGATGGAGGATCCAGCAGGTGAGAGCAGAACTGGAAGCCAGGGTCTGGGCCACAGGCTGGGCCAAGTGCTCCAGCACAGGTACCAGGTGCCTGCTGAGCCCGTGTGGAGCACTGTGGTGTGGTGACCACCCTGGTGAGCATCCTCACTTATTGTTGCTGCAAAGTCCCTTCATACAGTGGCTAAGGTGGGTGGAGAAATGCTGCCCAGAGCCTGACAGGTGGGACTGTGCATGGCCAGCGTGCCCACACCTGCTCCTGCTCACAGCCACCTCCGTTTCTGGCTGCTGCTAAGAGAAAATGGGCTGAAAATGGGCTCATCTCATACCCTGTCAGAGAGGTGTGGGATCCAGCATGGCTCAAACAAGTCTGTCAAGACCAAGTGTCCACCATACTCAGACATGCAGGACACCCACTGGAGAGCTGGCCTGGCAAGCTGACATGGTCAGAGAGTGTGTGATGGGGTTGAGCCATGCTGAGCAGGTGAGGGCAACTGAGGACCCCACCAGAGAGCACATGTTGTATATCCCTCTGCCTTGGCTCTTCTCGATACGGTTTCAGAGTGATGGCATTAAGCTGTTAGACTAGACCCACATTTTAGCCTTTGCTGCTGAAACACGTGTTCAGTATTAAATGTGTGCTGAGTTCAATAACTTCAAGGTTGGAGGAAGGAGAAGTGTCTGATGGCCGGAGCTGGGACTTGAAGGGCTTTTGAGTTCTGTTCCTCTTCCTGCCAGTGATTCACTGCATGGCTTCAGGCAAGACACGTAACTAAGCTGAAATATTTTCTTCCAGCTGCAAAAGAGCTGTAATGCCAAATACAAGGAGGGCCTCTGAGGTTTAACTAATTCCAGTTTACAGAAAGCCTTGAGATTGTCACTAAGAAGCTGCTGGAGAAAGACAATTATTACAGTATTTCACTCCACTGTTCATAAATGAGCTCTTCAGCTTCACACCAGTGACAAGCAGTGCATGGAACTGCCCCTGCAAACGACCCCCACGAAAGGGGCTGGGACACATGGGAAATGGGTGTGAAAGCACATCAGGAGACAGGAGCAAACCCCACTGCTTCTTGCTGCTGCGTTACTGGGATGTACCAGTAGAGAGCAAATGTTCCTGCTAAGAGGGCTGAAGAGGCCAGAGAAAGCTTGATGTAAAGAGAGAGGTGTGAAAGGTACTTTTGTACTGGGGAAGGAGGATGACCAGCTCCTGTACTGGCTGGAGCTTTGAGGGTCTTCAGCAACTAGCTAATGCAGCTTCCCTCTGTGTGATAAAGCCCAGCTGATGGAAAAGAAAGCAGTCAGCCTCCTGGCCACTCATGGGAAGACCCCCATGCCTGCACCAGGCTGAAGGAAGGACAAAAGAGCTGAGAACATCTGGCCAAAGCCCCAAAACCCTTGAATGAAACAAAGTCTAACGTTTTCTTAACTGTCCTGGAGCTCCACCTTGTTGGCTAGTGCTGTCCATCTCTGCTGGGCTATCTGGCTGGTTTTCCTTCCAGTTGGGCAGTGGGAAAACCCAAACAGGGGCAGAAGCCAAGCTGTTTCTGCCAGGTTGCAACAGCCCCAGCAATGGGCTTGTGAGAACCTGTGAGTGGCTGCTCAAATCCTGCTCTGTGCTGGGTGTGAAGGGCCTGGGCACTGAGGAGCAGCTCTGCCCACTGCCCTGCCCAGCCAGGCCATGTGCTCAGGACATGACAAGCAGCTGGTGCCTCCTGTAGCATCATCGTGGCACCTGTTTGTCCAGAGCCCGAGGGAAGGAGCCCGTAACCGGGAAGTTCTGCTGTTCCAGAGCCTGCAGCTCAGGCACAGCCTCTTGGCCTGGCCATCCAGATGGGGCGGGTGCCGAGCTGGACAGGGGGAGCCGGAGGTCACCGACGTCAGGTTTATCCCTCACGTCCAGCACTACCGGGACCGAGAGCGGGCAGTGAGGGGAGAGC